CGTAAACAGAACTAGACAAATAGTCAATAGATTTTCTACAAGTGTTCCAAGGCAATTCAACAGGAAAAGGATAGTCTTTTCGGCAAATGGTGTTGAACAACTGGATATCCACATGGAACAAAAATGAACCTCTATTCTAACCTTACACCAAACATAAAATTAACTCCAAATGGATCATAAATACAAACATAGAAGCTGAAATTTCTAAAAAAAAAAAAAACACAGGTTAAAAAATCATTACTGTCTTGGAAGAGGCACAAATTACTTAGAAAAGTATAAATCACATAAGAAAATAAAAATAAATTAGACCTTATTAAAATTTTAAATGTCTGCTCTTCAAAATACACTGTTAAGAAAATGGAAAGATAAGCCACAAGCTGAATGAAAATATTTGCAATCCATCTATCTGACAAAGATTTTGTATCCAGAATATACAAAAAATTTCTACAACTTAATATAATAAAAAAAAATAGGCAAAAGATTTGAAGGCACTTCACATGTGAATGACCAAAAGTACATGAAAAAATGCTGGACATTATTATCAGGAAATATAAATTTAAATATGAGCTATCACTATATATCCAAAAGAATGACTGAAAAAATGCTGACAATACTGAATACTGACAAGGATTGGAGTAATCGCCATTGACGCACATCATTGGTAGGAATGTAGAATGGTCCTATCAGTTAGGAAAACAGTCCAACAGTTTCTTATCATGTTAAATGTACACTTACCTTTTTTAAAAAATTTTATTTATTATTTGACAGACAGAGATCACAAGTAGGCAGAGAGGCAGGCAGAGAGAGAGAGGGGGAAGCAGGCTCCCTGCTGAGCAGAGCCCGATGCAAGACTCGATCCCAGGACCCTGGGATCATGACCCAAGCTGAAGGCAGAGGCCTAACCCATTGAGCCACCCGGGTGCCCTACACTTACCTTTTGATCCAGCAGTTTCATTCCTCAGCATTTACCCAAGAGAAATGAATTATTCGTTCACATATAGACTGGTACCTAAATGTTCATAGCAACTTGATTCATGATAACTAAACCCTGGAAACAATCTGAATTTCCATCAACAGGTCAATTAATAGACAAATTGTATTATGTCAGTGTAATGGAATATTACTCAGCAATAAAAATGAGTAAATTACTGTTATACACAACAACATAGGTAAATCTCAAAAACATACTACATGAGAAAAGGCCAGGCACTGAAGAGTATATAAGGTATGATTTCACTTATATGAAATTCTAAGAAAGACATAACTAACATATAATGATGAAAAACAGATCCATCGTTGCTTAGGCTGGATGGGGGCTATGACCATAGACTGCCAAGGGACATAAGGGCATTCTTGAAAGGTGGTGATTGTGGCAGTAGTTATTTGGGTATTTGCATTTGTCACAAGCTACTAAACATTTACACTTTAAATATGTGCTTTTGTTATAAATAAATTATATCTCTGGGGCACCTGGGTGGCTCAGTGGGTTAAAGCCTCAGCCTTCAGCTCCGGTCATGATCCCAGGGTCCTGGGATGGAGCCCCGCATCCGGCTCTCTGCTCAGCAGGGAGCCTGCTTCCTCCCCTCTCTCTGCTTACTTCTCTGCCTACTTGTGATTTCTGTCTGTCAAATAAATAAATAAATAAAATTAAAAAAAAATAAGTAAATTATATCTCAATTTTGTCTTTGATTTTTAGAAACAAAATATATTTATATATACTTATTTTTAAAGTCCAGGAAGACACACTCAAGATTATAAAACGGTAGTATTTCAAAGGTAATATTCAAAACATTTAACAATTGAGAATTATAAGCACCATCGGTCAGAACAAATGGTGGGCATGAACGACTGGAACAGCCAACCCATGGGAATGAGAGGAGTGTTGGTCCCAGGAAACACCATTTATCAACAGATGGTGAGATTGTTGATACCCTTTTCTTTTTTGCTCATTCGTATCTTCTAACATTCTATCCATATTTTCAATCACGTACTTTAAAATAAAGGGAAAAAAACCCTGTCTTTAATTATAAAAAAGAAAAATGATACCCTGTTGGTATCACATTTCATACTGTTATAAAATTCTAACAGGTCTCAAAATCCTAATGGAAGTTTTAAATAATAGATATGAGAAATGGTGTACTAAAACAGCATTGAATTAGGAGTTAAAAATGGATAATGCCATAAAAATATTTCCCATCCACTACAAAGAAAATAGTGAGATATATTTTTAAACTAGTTTACCATTTTAATATTTTAAAATGCCCTCCCTTTGCTCCTCTTCCAGCTAGATCTCCATATAATTGATTGTGTTTCCTAAGAGGCCTAGTATCTTTCCTCAAATAGCCCAGGCTCTGAAATGCCAATTGCTCAAAATTCATTCTTGAGTATTTTCCAAGAGTATCCTGGCCTAGGTCAAACTTCAGAATTTGACTGAGCCAGCCAGGAGATCAAACGATAATTATCAACCCTGGATAAATTTTTATAGCAAAATTACAGCCCATGACCAGAGATTTGCTACTGCCTCCTCTTAGCATAACTACCTCCATCTCTAGGGCTTATCACAGCAACAAACCTTTGCTCTGGGCAATTTCTTTAGAGGTAAGCACAATAAAAACCTGTCGATGAGAGCAGTCACTGAGAAACTCTGATCAGCAAATAATGACCAGGGAGTCCCTTTTATCATGTCTCTCTCCATCCACAGAGAAACCATGCCAGCTCCCCATCAGCCCAGTGGAGAGTCAGTGGCTGGTTTAGCAACATGACTTCTTTCTGAAACTCTGAAAACCCCAGGGTAAAATGATGCTACTGTATGATCTCCTAATGTTGCTTTACAATGGAGCTCAAATTTGTGATTTTAAAATCACCTCAGCCCACTGTGAGTTCACAGTTATCTTTAATGATTTGCAAATCCCAGTGTTTTTAAACACTCATTTTTGTACTGTGGCTATGGAAGGAACACCTGTACCTAAATAGTTATTGCTTCTAACACCCTGGGCTGTCAGGGTGTGCAGGAAATGAGAAGCAGCGACAGTATCTTCCACCTTTTCAAGCCTTAATTTACTCCTCCTATGTTTGAACATAAGCATACTGAGCCATCCTGAGCTGCCCTGTCATCTCCCAGAGCCCACGCCACCTTGGTTCATGGGACCTCTGTCATCCACAGAAACTCACTGTCCTTCTCCATCCCATGGAGGAAAAACAAGAAGGTGGCAGCTAGAGGCCACCAGGGTCTTTCCCTCTGGAAGCTCTGGTTTCTGAAGGTGAAGATTCTGCCTACAAATCACAGTTACAAACGAAATATACAGAATTTTTCATGAGGTAGCCAATAAGGCATTTCTGCAAGATATTCAACTATAAATCACACTACCAAGTCCAATTCCATCTCAACATTGTAGTGTCATAAACATCATTTATTCTCTAATTTCAAAACATGTTATTTCTATGTAATAATAATAATGGCAGATATTAAACAGTCACCATATGCCTGATATTGTTCTAATCTTACCTCTGCATTCATTCATTTAATCCTCAAAACAACTCATTGTTATGGTACGCCAGAACTCAAACTCAGCATCTGCCTCCAAAGTCTTTGCCATACTGGGATAGATCAAGAATCATAGACCCCCTTTCCCTAGAGAAGTGAACCTCTTATAAAGCTACCCAAGGGCTTGGAAGGACAGTGGCTATGGATAGACTGCAAAATGTCCCTGAATGGACAGGAAAATCTCCAGTGTTGTACATGTGTCATAACTTTTACTTACCTGCAAATGTCCTTTGTCTAAAAAAATACGGCGCTGAGGTAAGATATCACCAGTGATTTTTCCAATAATGGAAATGGTCCCAGTGTGATTCTTCATGTTTAAGGTTCTCTTGGCAAATTCTCTAAGGTCCATAACTATCCTCCACCCTCCCATATGGTACACAAAGAGTTGATGACCACCCCTACCACAGGGTCACCAGCTCCAGTGCAGGGTGAGTCCCATCTGTCCTTCTCCTGGGACCCTGCAGGAAAAGCAACAGAGGATGGCACTGCCTAACCCTCTTGCCCCAGCCCTTAGCATTTTCACTGCTGACAGTCAGCAAACGCCATTTCTGTCTCATGGATGCCCACAGGCTGCCAGACCCTGCTTTGCCTGCAGGGAGAAGGCCCCCCTGCAGGGCAGTCTTTGACCAGTGACTGCCTGCATGGGGCTCATAAACACTCTAGCTCCCTTAACCCCTAAACAGGGACAACTCTGACCTGTGATTACATTGTCTCCAGGGCCCACTGCAAAATGCAGCCAGTCTCCCACCAAGGAACTTGACTTGAAATTGCACCCTAGCTTGATTTCCTTCCCTTCTCTGACCTACTTCCCCACTATTAGAGGGTTTCCTGGGATCATTTCATAATAAATCACTTCACGGTCATCATTGCTTTGGAGCTGTTGCTGGGGGTGAATTGAGAAGGACAGCAGAATATGCAGATGATCGCTCTAAAATCCCACCCCTCTGTATGATCTGAACAAGCATCTTGTGGTCATTAAGTCTCTTGCTCCTTGCAGTGGGAACCTTGGTCCTATTGCACAAATGGAATGATCCACTTATACTGTCCTTATCCTTGAGTGGTTTACTCCACTCCGTTATAGTTTAAAACAACACAGAGGTCAAGCTCTTGTGAGAGAGATGACCAGAGTGTCCTCACATAACATTCCTGAAGGAACTCTCTTAGTGGGGAAACTTTGAACTGAAGTCCACATAACTGTGGCTTCACCAGAAAGACAATACAGTGGATTCAATGACCCTAAATGTTGACCTGATGCCTGAAAGCCAAACAGACCCTTGTCCTAACATAACTCCGTTCTCCAAGTGGGAGGTCTAAGAAACACAAGGCCATCAGAGGAAGCCAGCCAAAACCCTTCATTTTAAAGTCTTGGTTCCTCTGAATCAAATCCTTATGTTAAACATTTCTCAAAGTAGTTTTTAAACTTTAATTACATACTCTACCAAAGCAAAGACCAAAATCTCTACAAAGGTTCTTTTTTATTTTTTATGATGAAGTATTTATTAGTATGTCTCTTTGGAATAGATTCATACCCCAGGCCTGAAAAGAAATTCCACATAGAAATCATTCTCAAAACACGTTTTAAATATTTGAGAGTTTGTCCTTTTTTTTTTCTCACCTCATGCCATGACTTGGTAATGAGGAATAATTAAGATAGATTCTTATTAATAAGAAACACACTGCATTTTTAAAATATTTTTAAATGTAAAGCATATACACCAAAGTTTATAATAGAGAAATTCAGATCCAAAATTTCATCTCTACCGAGTGCTTGGCAACGTGGTGCCTTTCAAATCAATCGGTGTGGTAGTCACAAAAGATTGGCTTTTTGCAATGCGTCAGCTTAACTGAATGATATAATTACAGTCTGTTAATAGCCATGAGGACCAAGTAGAATGTCATCACTCTAATATGGACATGACGATGATAGTTTTGCATTTCTTTTTATCCTGGAATTTGAGCACTGATTTCTCTAAATATTTGGGATCCAAGGGATTTGAAAGAGATTCCTCCAAAATGTTCCAAAGTGAATGTCATGAGCTGTTCAAATGCACCCAGCCAGGAGCTCCGGGCTAGGACTTCACTTGGGATGGTCTGTTGAGGGGAAATCCACCCCCAGTAAAACGAGGGCCAGTTGGCTTGGCCATTGAGAAGGTGTTATCCGTGGGTACTCTGTCCTTATTTCTGCAAGACAGGAAGGAAAAGTTAACTTCCTTAGCATCTTTTTCTTCCTCTAAGTTTGGTGTTCTTTAAGTTCCTAGGTGAGTTAGCCACTGAAAACTGCTTTGATTAAAGCTTTCAGTTTTAGACAAGGTGATTAAATCTAATTAGGTGTTCACTGATAACACAAAGAATTAGGGAAAGACACAGTTAAAGGTACCCTCCTAATGTTGATCTAAATGTGGACATAAGACCTCATTATAACTCAATCACTTTGGACTTGAGACTCCTCACTTATAACATCATCCTGTTTTATAAAACATTTGTTTAGCTCCAAAATCAGTCAGAAGAATCTTTCTCTTGGCTCAGTTATAATGACTTGTTCATCATTTATCAACTTCTATATCCCAAAGTTTCAGTGGAAACTTATAAATATTTACCACAGACACAGGTATCTTCATCAAAACTGGATATTTATGAAATACAAATTTTCCTGTAACTTTAGACAAGCAGCAGTTATTATTAGAAATAGTTTAAGATACAAGAAAATCTAAGAAAGATGGATAAGATAGCACCTTCAGCAATAGATAAAGGAAAATCTACAATGTATCTCCTTAAAATACACACACATACATATACGCACACATTCACACACATACACATTCAGGTCTCCTGCAGAGGTAGCTTAAATTACACAAATTCCTTATTGTGTATTTAAGGGTCTTACAGAAAACATCTTTGGAATCCCTTTTTAAAAATAAAAATCAAGCTAACCGCTAAGACCAAACCCAAATTAGACTTGACAACTAGAAGTGATTTACCTTAGGGGGTGAGAATTCCACCTTTGGGGAAAGAATCTGGCTAGTTCTGCAAACTCAAGATCAGCCTGGGGTCTGGGACAGGGGAGTGAGAGGCAGGTGGATGAGGGTGCAGATCAGGATGGAAACATGATGAAAAACATGTTTGAGAAAAGTGAAGAAGGCACAAAGGTAAAAATGGCATGAGTTGCTATTTTATAAAGAGCAAGTATAGGGAAATCATCCACAGAGACTACTCTAAATTATTCTGTTTGGAAAGAACCTGTAGAGGATTGGCTAATCAATCCAGCAGTCTCTTGGCAGGACTGATTTCATTATTATATATAAAAAAATCATCTTCCATAAGTAGGACAAAAGCTTTAGCCTTGACTGGATCTGGTAAAGAGGATTCTTTCTAGTACTTGGCAACCCGCACACATGATGCCTGGTGGATGCAGGCAGCCCGCTCCCCCATCCTTCTCTTGCCTTCAGTAACGTAACTTTCCCTCTCTGCAGGAACTTCAGCTTACCAACACTGGCTTGGTCGAAGGTGACTGATGGGAATGATACCTCCCTTACATCACCTTTGTAATATATTCGTAGACCGTCACAGTGGCCCCCTTTAGCCTCCTCCCTTCCAGTCCACACCCTCTCCGCATCCTTGTTCTTGCTTCAGCATACTTCCCTTCAGCACCTTAATCTCTTTGCTCTTCTCCTGCGAACCCCTCTCTCTGTCTACCTCCAGTGTATAGATCCCCACCAACATGGAACAGCCCATGACACCCTCACCAGGTCAGAGTGGCTACAGTTATGAGCATTTTAGGGCAATAAAAGGACTGGTAAAAGCAAGGATTCTAGAGCTGTGCTATCCAATAGAACTTTCCACGATTGTGGCAAAGCTCTCTATCTAGAGACCAGTGCTGTGCCCTCTACTTCCATGTGGCTATTTAAGCAGTTGAAATGTGACTAGGGTACCTAAGAAACTGAATTTTTAATTTGACTTAGCTATAATCCATTTTAATTTAAGCACCCACAAGGGGCCTACTGGCCCTTTTAGTGGATGCACCACTGGGAGGGGCTGAGCCAACAGAGGGGCATTTCTGTTGGCTCCACAGGCTTCTGTGTCCAAGAAACTGTGTGGAGGGTGTCTGGGAGGGGGATCAATAAGGTCAACAGGCCAAACTCCACGACCAAAGTGGGGAAGTTAGTCAGCTCTAGAAAATTAACTAACTATTTAGCTAAGCTGGTTGTTTATAACTGTGTAAACTAGACTGCTATTCTCCAAAATGGTTGCATGTACTCTATAAATGACTAAGCTGACTCACTGGGAAGTGCAAAGAAGATATTTAAGATTCTATTCATATTTTGTCTTTCAAAAATTAAAAAAAAACTCACTTCACTAAGAGTGACAATAGTATTTTGCACGCAATGTAGACAAGTTAAAATATGTTAGAGATAGAAAACTATTCTAAAATAAAAATTTTGGGGCGCCTGGGTGGCTCAGTGGGTTAAAGCCTCTGCCTTCGGCTCAGGTCATGGTCCCAACGTCCTGGGATCGAGCCCCGCATTGGACTCTCTGCTCAGCGGGGAGCCTGCTTCCTCCTCTCTCTCTGCCTGCCTCTCTGCCTACTTGTGATCTCTGTCTGTCAAATAAATATAATCTTTTTAAAAAAATAAAATAAAAATTTCATTTTAATACCTAAAACAAATGTGTATTTAATATGAATGCATATACATGGGCAGCTACAAGTTCAAAAGTGTTTTACTGATAAGAGACTGCAATCAAAATGCTTGAAATCCATTGAACTGGACTCGTGCCTCACACTGGAACCAGCCATTGGCACAAACATACTGTCCTAAGAGAAAACCACTGTGTTTCCACCCATCGTGCACTGATTCACACCATTAATATCAGTGGTTCTCCAGCTTCTGTGAGGAGTGACTCAACTGCAAATTCTTCAGAGCCCGCAGAATCCAAACATCTGGGAATGGGGCCTGGAGACCTACATGTTCACCCAATCCCACCAATGGTTCTGAACCAGATGGTTGCCAGTCCCATACATCAAGACAGACCCACTGAAATCAGCTCTAATTTTTGGCAGGATTTGATTCTACCAAGAAGCTGTCCTCTGAATGTGGAATGAGGGAATATTCTGATTTACAAGAAGGGCAAATTTTTCCTGGCAAATCTATTTGCATCCTGTTACTTTATTGTTGTTGTTTGCCCCTCACGAATCACAGGCAGACGCCCCTCTTTCACCAGGTCCCTGCAATGCCCAAGTGGACAAAACACCCAACTTGACTCAAACCCCCAATGTGAGCCACTACAGAATCAACTGGATGAGTTGGGTAATGCCACACAGCCAAACTGAGGTTCGAACCCACTGATTCACCGGGGCCCACTCTCTCACCCTAGCATTGGGCAAATGATGATATCCGAGTGGAGAGACATTTGTCTTTCCATGTGTAGGCATCCTGAAACCCAAAATGTTAACCTGGAGAGTAAGAGCTCACGTCACGCCCCTGGCAGATGCTGAAGCTAGTACTAGACATAAAGATGGTTCAGAGACAGATTATCTAAAACATAGGTAAAAATGATCCACAAGTTACTCATCACAGTTGTGTTCTTGGAAAGAACAGCTTTCCCGCCCTCCACTCCTTTGCAAAATTACCTATGTTTGTAAATGTAGATGTGCTTTCAAGCATGATTGTGAATCTCAGTTGCAAACAATGTTATGGCATGATTATCTCCAAGCCATGAGAACAGTGTGGGGGAGGTATGGCAGGGGTGGGGGGGTGGGGGGAGAATCCCACCATGTTTCCTTTGCTCCATATGAGGTCCACCAATGAGCAGATATTAATGGATCCCTGCTCGGGTCCTAAGGAGAGGCCTTTGTATCAGATGAGACATGCATCTTGCTCTGACACAAACCAGTGGGGATGTGTAGAATGTCATTTGTTCACCCTGTGCCTCAGTTTACCCCCATGGATTCCATGACTCCGTGAGTGTCTGCCAATTATCTTCTTATCAGCAGATAATAGGCAAAACAAGATTAGAAGAACATTTGAAGGGAGGTGAACCATGAGAGACTATGGACTCTGAAAAACAATCTGAGGGTTTTGAAGGGGAGGGGGGTGGGAGGTTGGGGGAACCAGGTGGTGGGTATTGGAGAGGGCACGGATTGCATGGAGCACTGGGTGTGGTGCAAAAACAATGAATACTGTTACGCTGAAAATAAATTTTAAAAATTTTTAAAAATAAATAAAAATAAAAAAATAATTTTAAAAAGATGCTAAACAAATTATTAAACTGATTCGAATTTTTAAAAAAAGAACATTTGAATATTAAGAACATAATTCTTACTTCTGAATGTATTCTTTACGTTTCTGTGCTAGGTATTTCTTCTTCAAGTTCATCAGTTCATTGGTAAGTTTCTCGATCTCGTATTTATATTCTTGGCTCTGTGATTCATACATATTCAGCTCTGAAGACAAAACCTAACATGACAAATAAAGCAGCATTAGCAGAAGAGACACAGTGAAACGATACCCTTTCCTGAAAATTTTTTCTCTCTCATCTGCTGCCATTTACCTCCATGGGGTGAGTAATACAAAATCCCGCCCAAGTTTAACAGCTAATCCACTCGCTTTTGCCAGTTCTCAAGGTCTCGTCTAGGTAAAAATCTGACTGAGGTCTGCAGACTCCTAACCCAGGGACAAACGTGGTGAACCCTCTGCTTGGAAGAACTCTTGGGCCACATTCAAGCAGGCTTACCCATGAATGGAGTAATGGGTTTCAGGTATATTGTGAGCAGAGACAGAAAAACGCGCAGGCATACAGTATCAAACTGCGCTTAAAGCCTTTTTAAAGAGCCTTTAGCGAAGTCATCACTAGGGAGAGTGATTCATTTGAGGATTATGGTTAAAAATTATTCTGGAATCATCCCGCCATCACCACCACCAAGTAAGCCTTCAATGTATGTGTTTTCCTAGGTTGCTGTTCTGCTAATGTCTATCACCTCTTCGCCGTTCTCTTTGGGACTCTTCACAGGCTCGCTCTTTCTCCCAGCATCGCAACGCTTCCCTCTGAGAAGCAGGGAGCCGACATGCGCATGGGAGAGTCTTAAGCCTGTGTGAGAGGAGCCCTGATCAGCTGCCTCTTCCACTCTGGTGTCCCATAGATGCTCTTGGTCTCAGCCGAGCGAGAAGAGTGGGCATTCTCTCATCTGAACAAACTGCGTAAAGCATGCCCAAGCGAGGAGTGCACCCCACAGAAACCAAAGGGAAGAAAAGAAGGTTACCATTCTAAGGGGCATGCAACAGAAAGATTCATTTTCCCTCTTGCTCACTGTTTGAAAAATTTGCACAAAAGGGACATCTCTGTCTTCTAGGTGTTCATCTGCTTCTGAACGTGTTCCCTTCATCGCTTTGAAAACGATTCTAAGCTATCGTGAGCTAAAGAATAGGACCTTCATGTTGAGAGAAAACCTGCCTTAATAGCTAAACAATTAGGAACAAAGGGTCTGTTTCCAAACAACGAATATCACATTTCCTAAAAGAGCCCAGATAATGAGGACAAACTGGCAGACGAGACAGGCTGAGACTACCACCTCTGAACCTCTTCCACCAGGGGTCACATTTCATCAGAGCAAAATTCTGGATCTCCTGAGTTAAAGGGTTAAAATGCCAAAAGCTCCAATGAGCCATGCAATGCAATCCAACACAGAATGTGGCTGACAGCAGTGTGAAGACAGACGTGTGCTTTTCTAATCTATACCCACTCCTGAGAAAATGAGCTTTTGTTTTGTTTTGTTGGGAATATATAATTGTTTAAAAGGATGAAAATAATCAAAAAGATTATGCCTCATGCAAAATTCGAACTACATCTCAGGATACTCTGGTGAAATCAACATTGAGGGATAAGTTGAAAATTAATGTTCTAATTACACGTCTGTTTCATCTGCCTTTTTTAAGTAGAAGGATGTGATTTTACAATGTCTTATTTGTGAAAGGATCAGAACTGTAGGAGGAGCACAGCATCTATATTACCCCAGGCAGAAAGGTAATGATTATCACCCTCGTTGTGCCGGTAAGTGCCGGAATTCAGCTGGCGTGTGCTACATTCCGTGTTTGCATGTGTGTAAGACTTCCCCAACATGCCCAGAATACCTAAGAACTCACTTAGGAGGTAGAGCTCCAGATACAATGGGAACACACCGTTTCCGAGAAAACTTTTAAAGGCACGTGTAATAATAAAACATTCCATCTCGCCAGTTGTTTCTGAAGTCACTTAGAAGGGAATTTATGCTAACGGAATTCTAAAGTGATTTTACTTTCCTTTCACAGCGACTGATTCGAGAGATGGTCATGAAGGAAGGCCCTGGTGTCCGGGGACTAACCTGTGCTTTGCAGAGGGAACGGAATAGCGCAAACCTGCTTTGGCACAGTGGTCTGCTTCAGGGGATGATGGTTTTAAAACATTTCCTCTCTTCTCCCCTCCCCCCCATTCCAAGTGCCCTCACTCATTTTGAGATCATCCCCATATACCCCATCCCCCAAATTTCCATTCAGGTACCATCATCCTCTCTCCAACTCTTCCCTTGCTTGCCTCCCTCTTTCAGAAAACAGAGAATTGTGGGGTCTATTAGTCTAGCTGCAGGGGGGCAGCTCTGAGATGTGTCCTGCTCCTCCTGGGACTGGAATTCTAAAAAAGCCAACCTCTATGGTGTGTGACGTTTGGGAGACCGGCTCCTTGTACCGAGACAGCAGACATGTCTGGGTCCCTCACGTGTGGCCAGAAAAAGGCAGAGGCTCCCACTTACTTTCAGCTGCTTTGTCTTCTCCCGCAGCGTGTGGCGATAGATCTGTAGTTGCTCGGCGGCCTCGGGACCAGGCTGTCGAGCCAGGATGTGCTTCAGCTCCACATACAGTTTCTCCTTTTCCTGGCAGAAAGCAAAACCACAAAGGAGATAAACAGCCCCATCAAGTCAGGAAAAGTGCCTTTACCAGCATGGTCAGGAGAACTTGGGACCATCATAAGACACTTCAGAGTGCCACACTGATCACATTGACCGTAGATCTGATCAGGAGTGCATCCAAACAACCCTGGTCAAGGGCTTAAGTTGGGCCAGCAAGGGAAAGTCTCTCTCTACCTAAACTTAGGGTCACATGACTGAGAGACAAGGGCAGTGATGGAAGATTTGGACATGTGTTGTGGCCAGTAAAAGTAGGACATAGGGGAGTTTTCGCAAAAATGTCCTTTGAACTGTTGCTTGAAGAGTGAGTAGGAGTTTTCCCCAGAGCGAGAAAGGAAAGGTTTTGAGGCCAAGATTCAGAGTCAGGACAGGGGAGAAGTGATTCTAGTTCAGTAGGAGCACTGGACCAAAGGAGGGAGAAGTGGAGAGAAGAGGCTGGGCTCATAGGTAGGTTCTAGGCTGTGTGGTTTGGGAGGAAAGGATGAGCTGCACCTGGGTTTGTCTTCAGAGGAATAGCTCCAGCAGGAAGACAGAGAACAGAGTGAGGAGACTGCTCAGGGCACCAGGATAAGCAGAAGATAAAAAGAGATGGACCTAAGGCAACTAGGATGGAAAAGAGGTAGATGTGAAGACATTCCTGAGATAGAATCAGTGGGATTTGGTGAAAGGTCAGACAAGGAAGGAAAGAGGGAAGGAGCAGGACCTTAAAGACACCAAGGCTTCTAATATGGACACCTTGGGGGCTGGAGGGTGATGGTAATGGAGTCAGGGAGGCTAGGAAAGAAGGGTTGTGGGGAGGGGGAAAGAACTGTTCCCACAGACTCTTCTGATTATCGGTGGTGTCTGGATATGTTGAGCTTGAGGTGTTGTTAGATATTGAGGAGTTGAAAATGAGGTCCCAGAGTTCAAACTAAAGAGCAAGTTGGAGGGGCACCTGGGTGGCTCACTGGGTTAAAGCCTCTGCCTTCAGCTCAGGTCATGATCCCAGGCTCCTGGGATCGAACCCCACATTGAGCTCTCTGCTCAGCAGGAAGCCTGCTTCCTCCTCTCTCTCTGCCTGCCTCTCTGTCTGCTTGTGATCTCTGTCTGTCAAATAAATAAAATCTTTAAAAAAAAAAAATAAAGAGCAAGTTGGAACTGATGGTGGGTCATGGCTAAAGCCATGAGAATGGCTCCGTCAACAAGGGATGGCCTTTAGGGTGGACCAGAACAATGAGATCTTTGGGAGAGCCAGCATATTGGGGGAGGGAAAGAAGAAAGACTGAGAGAAAACGAACAAGGGAGAGTAACTGAATGCCCCCCAGCTAGAAAATGGCAGTGTTTACAAAGGGAAGCATGATTTGAGTGGTCAGTGATATCCAATGGGCTAAGAGAAGAAACAGAAGGGGTACTGAAAATGGCCTCGGGGGAGGCCTTTTAGGATGATACCACTGCAATAACATTGGGGGAGCGAAAGTCACAGAGGCTAGAGAACAAATCAGAAGTAGGAAGTAAAGAAAGCAAGTCATTTAAGAAATATGACATAGGAAGAACTGAGATCTGGAAGTAGTTTGAGAGAACAGGTAAAAAGCCAAGAAAACTAGGATGTGCACATTCATAGAACTAAAAGAAAGGGCTTGCTAGGGACCCACAGCAAATCATAATTTCATAATTGAATTTAACCAACAAACAATATAGAATTCCCATTTGTACCCTAAAGTTTAATTGCTTGTAATGTGTTTTCAGATACTCGAACTAGGGAAACTACATACAAGGGAAGATTTATTTCTTAGGCACCTCAGTTCTGGATTCCCATTTCTCTAAACTACAACAGTTTGAACAAACATTGATAAAGTCTAATGTGTCTATTCATTTGTCTCTGTATGTATTTATTTCCTTAAGGTAATTATGTTAAAGAGAAAAAATAAGTAAAAGCCCTCTTAATAAATGACATGGCCAAGCAAATGGAAACTAATTTTTACCTAGAGCTAAGTATTAGCATTGTCATCAAATAGTGTTTTTGACAGAGAACATGAGAATCATTAAAAAAAAAAAAATCAGTAGAAGAAAATTCATTAACTACTCATTGTCACCATTTGTTTTAGATTTTTCTTCCCTCTGGCCAAATTACAGAAACTTTATCACAAATAATATGACTCTACTTTCAAAAGAATGTATGTAACTTAAGAACTAGTTGGATGGATTAAGATTCTGAAGAAACATGTATCCAAAAACAATACTCACCATTTAAGAAATAATTCCAGAAACGACAAGGAAATCCAAAAGCCCGTGCAAAAGAAGAAAACTTGAACAAATAGAATTACAAAGCAGTGGTTTTCCTTTGTTGTACAACACCTCCCGTCACACCTTACAACATAATCTTCCCAGTAAATGGATGTAGCAAGCAATGGGAAAGATGTCAGGAGGTGAGTTTATTTTCTATAGCCACTTAATGCCTGCTCTGTTGGAGAAATAACACTTCTGACAAGGCTTCAAGATTCAATTTAGAGAGGGTAATAAATATGTGGAGAAGCCCACAAAACCGTTTTGTCCATTTCTTTCAGCTCCCCTTCCTCTCTACCAGAATATGGGTAGACCTGAAAAGTAAAGAACCCCATGAAGACGAGGAGGAAGCAATCTGGTTTGGGATATAATAACGTCTTAAACTGAAAAGATCATCTTACTCCAAGAACCTTCAACTGTTTCCCAGGTGGAACACTTTTCAACTGCTCTTGGCAGGGAGGAAAGAGACACAGAGGAGAGAGGCTGGAAGAAGCAAATATTGCTACCTTGGCTCATAAGTGAGAATCCCAAGGTCAACGGCAATGAATGGTGTGTCCCAAAGTCCAAAATGTGACAAGTCAAAAACCCAGTCATGATATACACGAGAATCACTTTTCCCATGCAACGCCTCCTCTGGGGTTTGAAGATGTGTTATAACCTTGAAAGAATCTGGAGGAAATCGCACTACATAATTCCTAAAGGCTACGTGATACTATCAGTAGAATGGAGCCAGAAGGTAAAATCTGGTTGGCAGCCAGGGGATTACAAGCAGAGGTAAGAGCATGACTCAGCTCCCAGCTCTCAGGACCTAGGCCAGCTGAATGGGCTCCACCCACCCCCTCTAACAGGACATGTGACCTCCACCGACAGTGACCCAGGTCTTCCCCTGTCTCCACTTCCTGTTCTTTGTCCCAAGGCTGTAAAAGGAATCAAAATGGATTTATTCTAAAGAATAACTGAGTGACTGAATAGTGAGAACCATAAGTGTGGAGAAAAGTGAAGAAGCTGAGTGAATTACTATTAAAACGGTTGCAGTATTCAAAGTCAAAAAGTTCTAAGAGTTAAACAACTCAGGCCAAGCGATGCATGTGTATTCACGGTGGGTTGAGAGAACACCAAATGAAACTTCAGGGACTGAGACAGTAGGAATGGGAAGAGCAGAGGGAAAAGGAGTGAGGGGTAGTGACTGAAATGTATTACCAGGCTTCAGTGTGCATGAATTTTGGTCTGTGTTTACAATAGAAAACCTAACTGATAAAACCAAAGTGAAGGCCGGTCAACATTAACATTCTAGCTGTGTGAATCATACCGATTTGTATTTTGGGAGAGCGTTCTGGTAATTTAGATAAATATGGAGTGTTTGATGGATTGAAGGTCTTAAGTACGATTGTTTTCCAATTTATTTCTCTCCTAACCCTCTACAAGGGCCAACCAAGCTCTTCAAACATTGTGCAATGGTGTGTATAATAACCCCATTTAGAGACAAAGCGTGCAATTCTATTATAAAGAGAATCTATCTTATGCAACAGAGAGACTCATTAGGCTGTCCGGTGTACATTGTCTCCATAAGCCAGCAGTGGCAGAACCAGCTGCCTTGTAATACATATCCTGTCCTTCTTCGTTAAGCTGCATTCATTTCTTTTTAAACCAAGTCAATTAATTTGTCACTGGGTTAGAAGCACCATATGTCAATGAGACGTTGTAAGAAAATCATGAATAGTTTATTACTTCCCCACGAACAAAAGATTGCATCTTCCGGTTAACATTTCTTTATTTATTCAGAGTTTGTTCTTAATGCACATCAATATTACTTCGTACCATGCCTCACTCTCTAAATTATTTTGTGAACAGCTATACTGGAAAAAACTAGACTCTTAACATCAGGAGACTAGCTCTCATTTTGGCTGAGCACGACTTGCAAGCATAAAATTTATTATGTCCATCCTCGAAATGATGTTCCCTGGCTAGACATCCCATCCTCTCAGTCGGACAGACTGTCAGACATGGTTATGGATTCTTTTGCTGTGAGAGTCTCCAAGTTATTCTGGATAAGAGCATGGCTCATTATTAACACCGGCTGAGTAGAGTGGTACGAAATTAATTACAGTATTAGCTTCAAATAATGCCGTCATTACACGGTGACAATCTGTACCCCAGATTGGCAACTCCAGACACGAAGTCACTTAGACCTTCAGGTGTTTGTATTTTATCTGACAATAAATTAAAAGTCTACATTCTGAACAGTCTATGCAAATAGGAGTCAGTGCTATTCTGGGTACAATATGGAGGAAGAAACTGAATTGCTCTCAGAACTCCTTTCCCCACCGAGCTACAATTTTATATTCACTGTCTGTTTATATTCCCTGTCTTAAGCTCTGCATCTTCAACTGAAAACAGAAGGTAGTTCACATTCAACGTGCACCTTAACCCCTCTTCTTCTTCAGCTCGTCTACTCAAGGCAATAACTGACTAAGAGGAACTAATATATTCTGTTTTAATCTGAATCTGTGCTTGGCAAATGCCAGTGCATTGATTCTGTTCACCCTGGATTCATCAATTTGCTTGGGCGAGCGTTGCAAATAATAGCTTCACCCTGGGAACAAGCTAATTCACGTGAATCAGACAGCTTGGCTCCTGATCCAAAGTCACATGCTTATCTATACCCACCAGGGTGAAAGCCACGCACTGAGATGCTTGGATACGAT